GAGTAAATGTCAAAGAAACTACCACACTAGATGCCTCCCACCTCCTCTCCCTGTTGCTTGGGTAACTCAGGGGTACACTATATTTTAAATGTTCTCTGACAGATGGCCTGTATGAAATGTTCCATGCAACATTTCAATCTGCCTAGAATGAATCTATAATCCAGCTGCAGAGTCCCCAAGTGCAGCTAGATCTACTCCCCCTCCAAGATATGGGGATAAGATCAGACTTCCTGTCTGAGAGAAGAAATTGAACTCTTGTTAGATGTCCCTGACCCACAGGTCATGACCACTTGACCTCACCTTTCACTCCTACTTTTCAGATGGTGATGATGTGACAAAAATAGTGTCATGGTAAGGGCTCATTCTTGGCAACTTCTCCAAGAATATACAGGCTGACAATCAGATCCATATGATGCTGTTCATGCTGTCCCTATCAAGGTTTCCAACTGTTTAATACTGCCTGGGTACTTTCACTTCTGTAAACAGCAGTCATAAAGTACTACAGTGCTAAAGACCTATCACAAAACATGTCTGCTACATTCTAATCAGCCCTTAGTATACTAAGATGAAGTCTTCTGTTTTGCATCCTCTTCCTAATCATATAGTGTTCGTACAGGATAACAGGGTAATCATAGCACACACCATAATGAGAAATGTTCAGCAGTTAGAAGATAATGATAGAAACTCCACAGTCCACACCTTACAAAGAATAATTGTCTGAGGCAAGGTTGTGACAGCTGGGGTCCCAGACTATATAATCATAGAATATTTCTATAGCAGAAATTGATTGCCCTAAATGCTTGCGGGCATCCCTCCACAAGTGCTCCCACTTTTAAACAAAGATGGCATTTGATATGTGCTTTGCTACAAACAATGGGAAGACACCCATTCCGGAGGCAATGTTTACAATATTGTGTGAAAATTACATGTTCTGTGGCCTCCCTGGGGCTGGCAATTGTTAAGACACATGGACGGACTGGTGTCTTCTGTGCTCCAGACAAAAATTTCACATGGCAGACAGTTGTCCATTGTTACCACCTGTCAAACAGCTGAACTTTTCACATTGCAGGTCACTTGTGAAATGGTTCTTACCTTTGCAAAAGGGCTTACTCAATAATTTACATGATTAACATTATGTGTATAGTTGATAAACAAAGAAAGAAGTCTTCTCCAATCACGGTCTAATTTAAATTACAAGGTATTGGTCATCTGGTATCTTTCATGTGTCACCCTTTGTGTGTTTCAAAAGGTGAGACTGGTACTGGATGATGTACAGGATGAAACTATAAAAGACTTTCATTTGTAAGAAATCTTTTAAATATGACTTTTGATCAATGTTGAAATGTCTCTGTACTCACATTAACACTGTATGCTTAATCTTTTTGTTTATCATATGCTTCTTACAATGTCATTTCATAATTTAGTTTTGTAGTATTGTTGTCTTACTGTCACACATGGTACCATGTATGATTGTCAAGCAATAAAGTTCAAGTAAAGTTCATTCATATGACCTGTTTATAAAAGTACTCGGTTTTTTGTTAACAGTTCACATGTATTAGTTAATAGTTATTTACTCCTCTTTACAACAGCCCTATTAAAATGACATTAGTAGGTCTTTTCCACTTCATGATCCATCTGCTTCACAGGTCATTAACTGTATGTTACCCAGTAACTACATGTACATGTAGACAACCCTACTGCGTAGCATTAACGGCTAGAGTTCTAATGTTATTATAATTCTGAAATGACCTTCCACTCTTATTAAAGAGATCAGCTATGGGATTTGCAAGCTGATACAACTGATGTGGATGATTATTTCACACCTGACTTAACCTTGATCCAGCAGCCCCTTACTGTGCTTGGGCAATGCTTTCATGCAAAATCCTGTCTCCACAGTAATACACATTTAGCTGTATCTTTGCACTAAGGCCCGATTTAGACTAGAAACGGTATACCGTTTCGAAACGGTACGAAACGTTTCGCCACAGAAAACGGTTCGTCTTTACGAGGCGGAAGCGTTTCGGGCCGCCCGTGGCGCAGGATGTTTCTGACCCACAGTGACCTATGATGACCTCCCCAAACCGCTTCTACGGTTTGCCTCATTGGCCTTATGATACTTGTGTTTCAGGGCCTTGAACTTCGCCCGAACCTGCTTTGGGGTGCGTAAATACCCCTCAGCCGCCAGCCCGTCCACAAGCATCTGTATGCCCTCCCTATTACGCGAGGTCTCCAAGCGGGATTGTATAGTTTGATCGGCCCACAAGCTGATCAAGCAGCGGATCTCTTCTTGGGTCCAGACCCTCCCCTGGCCTTCTGCCATCCCCCCAGACATAAAGGATGACGAAAATTCGAGAAATACATGATATAAAATGGCGAAAATGGACACAATCGAATATGGCGCGAATCTACCAGAAAATGGACGCGCGCGGGCTTATTAGCATGTGATTAGCATATGACACATGACCTGGTTTACCGTTTCAAGAAACCCTTTGACTTTAGACCTAGCAAAAAGCGTTTCGGGCCCCCGCTGAAGGGTTCTGAAACGGTCGAAAACCACGATGGAGGTGGTTTTCGGAAACGGTCCGCGAAAACCCATAATAAACCGTTTTTTCCTCTTTAGACCGGGAACGGTTAACCGTTCCGAAACGTTTCCCTGGCCAAAACCCCTTAAGCGTTTCTAGTCTAAATCGGGCCTAAGAACATGCAGTGGTGTGTGTATCTTTGAAAGTACTTCACACTTTCAGGTGGTTTGGATGGAGACATGCTAACCATACCAGAGGTATGAACTGTGTGGGGATCAGCTGACAGGCTCCAGCTGTTCATCAATAAGAAAAGTAGTATGGAAAATCTTTCTTCACTTACTGAGGATTTACCTTTTGACCATGCATGTGTAACATTATGTACATTAAACCTGTAATAGAGAAGTAAGACACCAGTCTTTTGAAGAAGTGTAATACTCCTGAGCAGAGACCTTTGCATGGACAGACCTTCAGTAAGCCTCAAAGAATCCCTTCCCACATGGATCACTCTCAAGGAAAACTCATCCCAAACATTTCAGCAAAAGGTCATGTTCTGTGACCTTTTCATGAAAAGTAGGTAGAGTAAGCTGGGAATTGTGTTCATCATAGTAGTATAGTAACGTTAATGTTACCTGGAAAAAAAACATGGCACAAAAATGATGGATGGCTTCAAAATCAGGTTATTATAACCAGAACCAGCTGTTAAGTCAATAACTGAAGTAACTGACAAAACATGTTACATATATGGATAAAGATGATAGTAATGCCACATTCACCACCTTATCATTTGTCCATTGTTAAAGTTGTTAAAGTTAAAGTTGTTACACTATCACGAATATGTTTTGGTCTTGCGGGTTCTGTTGATTTTTGAAACATGATGAAAACTGTGGGTTGCAACGACTGCTGATGTCGCTGGTCGGCACGTTTGACAAGACTGAACTGCAGTTTCGTTTCAGCCTTGCAAGTCACGTCGCCTGGCTCTACTTTGTTATCGTGCTGCCTACCAGCGATGAAAAATTGCCTGACCTTGAAAGACAAACAGATCCCTCAACCACAAATTGGAGCAAGGTAATCAAAGAACAGAGTAGCTTTTCTACTCGGCACAAAAGATGGAAGATGGAGGAGGGAGTATCAGTTTCCTCTGGTCAGGGCTGCTCGTAGCTTCGGAACAAAAACAAACCAACATGGCTCCGATTTCTACGCAAAACAAAAAGGACAAGAAAAGTTAAGACTTACGTCCATTCTGCTACATCATATCCTTCAAGACTGGGTGGTCTAGCACGTCTCGGTGTATCACAGCTAGACGTCTTCTCAGGAAGGCCACATCCTCCGCAAGTTCATGATCCGAGTCCTCCAAAAACGGAACGAACTCGGCGTGCACTCCTCCGTCAACAACAGGGCACTCGCCCCCTTCGTCCAGTCCCGCCCCCACTTCCAGCTCGATGTCCTCCTCCAGATCGTCTTGTAGAGGGTTTCCTGCGATGCCATTCCGTTGTCTGGGCTGGTTGATAAGTCCCAGCAACAATTCTTGAGGCAAACTCTCCAGATCGGAGGAAAAAGAATCCTCCAAAGAGTCGAACAGGTCGTAAGTCACACCTCCTACGGCCATGTTCGCAACTGTGTTTCAGAAGTGTCCACTGCACGGTCACGTCCGATATTTCTGCTCGGATGAACTGTCAACAGCATAACCTACAGCTGCTTTAGAGTAAAATACATAGAAGCTGATAACAGTACAGACAAATGACTGGCAGATCCAGGCTACAAAGTTTTGAGGGGCCCACCTACATCGACCGCCGACTGTCCAGCTGCGAGGAGGCGGTGCGCGGCATCGATCACCCTGTTTGAATTTTCCCTCTCATGGCGCTCAAGACAAGTCCAGAACTCTCATGCCGCAATCAAAACAAAACTTATTCCTTCAGTAAATCTGGATGTTCCAAAGCCGACTGCAACAAAGTAGCTGAAAGCTTGGAATATTTCTGTCCATAGACAGTAAGGAGGTCAGTCGATGGGCCGTTACGCCTGGTCTTGGGTCATCGTATCCCCTTTGTAGAAAGTCTGGGCTGAAAATTTGCATGTCAAAAGCCCACGAAAAACTCCATTCATCGCTATTATTGATAGGCGGGTCGCTTTACAGAGATCTGTGAAAAGTTTACACATTGGACGTTAGTCAATTTTTTTGTCTTGCAAATGTTTGCAAATGAGCCCAGCAGTCAATAATAATCCTGTTGTTCATAAATTTCATTAAACACAAGGATACAAACAGACACTTATTGGGAAATTTAACGTTTTTCTGACTTTCTAGCCAAGCTGGTTCACCATGAAAGAAGATATTATAAGTGATCTTAAAGAGCTATGACGTTAAACTATGTAAGTCTTCACTTCTTATATTCCCTTCTTATGTAGTCTAGCCCATGGTCATGTATGGAAAACTATTACATCTGCTTGGACTTTGAAGGATTGCGTGGTAAGAATCTGTATTTCCTGGTTTCTTTCAGTGGTCACTGTACTACATGTAACTACATGTATCGTTACCTCTGTTGTTCAACTCATATTAGCTTGGATTATTTCTAAGTTTGTTTATCTTGAGGATTATAAACATTTGACAATTGCTTATGTAAGTAAGGGGTAGTATGTATTAAAAAAATACAAGGGCCCTTGGAAAAATAAGCAAGAACTGTTTGTTACACAACAAAGAAACCCTCCTTTGCTTCAAAATCTCTTTAGGTAACCAAAATCCCTTTTCAAAGATCAGCTGCTTCATGACTCAAAGGTGAGTAATCGCCCTCACACTACAGTATCTACTTGAGTGGCCAAGTGTTACCGCACCACAAACACATTAAACAAACACTTTAAGCAAGCATGGATCCGTTTGGCTGCAGCGTCGGCTCTTTCAAAACAACTGAGGTGCCCAGTTTAGTCTTTCAAAGCCTGGTTTTGCCACTTGTTTGATGTCGCACTTTTAATAGCAAATGCAAATTTAATCATTGGTGCAAACTACACAATACAATCTTCAACATGCATCCTTGAATTATAGAATTTAATCTGATTTCTCAAGGAGCCCCTCTTGGACACATTCAATAAATTCTTCTGAAAATTGCATTCATTTTCAACAAACCTGTCTTGTGGCTGATTCCACAATTTACAGTCAAACTGTCATACCCAAATGTAAAATACAGTTGAATTAAAAAAAAAAAACAGATAGTGAGGAGACATAGTACAAGGAAAGACATGTGACACAGGGAACCGGTAATCTACGGTAAGCTGCTGGAAAAGCTGGGATAGGTGACAACCTTTGATGTTGAGTAGGGAGCAGGTGCTAAGTCAAGCACGGAACTGCCATCTTTCACACTGGAATTACGGGTAGTCCACAGCAATCTGATCAATTTGTCTTAAGATAAGCCTAAGAAGGGGTATAAAAACATAGAACAAACTAGAGTTCGATGATCTCATACCCCCATGACATGTGTATTGTTTTCATAAATCTTACGCATGGTGATGACCACCTGTAATTGGCTTACATTTTTCACCGCATATATTCAAATCATATGAGGCCATTTGCATATATTGTATCAATTGATCATACTCTCCACCAAATGACAGGGTTATCTTAAGAAATAAGGCTATTCTAGCGTTTCCTCATAAATTATGCAAATGAGGTCCTGATTGACATAAATTATGTTTAGTGATGTTCACCTTCACTGAACTTCCAATTATGGCAAGTATTAAATTCCCAGCAGTTACCACCATAAAAT